ACATGTAATAAACCCATAAACATGTATATAAAAAAATATATCGTAATGCTCAAATAATTTGTACATAAGTATGCATCCCAGTTAAAGTCTCATGAAGACTCACCTTGGTTTAGTGTAGGTGTGCCCGACACTTGGTAACTCTCAACCCTACACAGGTAATAATCCTTTCTAAGTACCGAGATGTACCTTCGTTTTCGATTTAAATTTTGATATGTAAATTTTCATATGAAACCATTTCCAACGCACCTACTATATAAATATTTTGCCCATGATTTCTTTTTTTTATTTATACCAATGTGTATATTATATTATATTATATATATATATATATATAAATATATATTCATCAACTCCTGCATCTTACAAATGAATTTATATATTTTTCCAGAACTCTCCCAACCACCCCACCTTTTTCTATTTTCCATTTGTTTGGTATTCTATTTCACAAACCATGCACAGATGCTTCTAAGTTTATTTTTTTTACATGGCCGGATGGCTTTTTAGCCGGACCCGTAGTCGGCTATTTTCAAACGGTGTAGACCCCTTTTGTTTATCGTTTACTCTCGTTTGATTAGTTTAGTTACCGTGAARGCATTAGCCCGTATCCAACTTTATCCCCGTACACTATCAAAATGTAATATCTCCAAACATGATTTTCGATCAACCTCTTAATTAAATTTGCCATTTATATGCATGAACTCAAAACTCCATTATTTTCGTAATTGAAGCATCTTACGACCTTCRAATAAAAYGAGATTTGAGACTACTACCCCCAACTCATTAATCTATGATTTTAGTAAGAAAGTTACAAGCTTAAACAAGAGATATATATCGTACCTTCACTTGGTTGTGCACTAGCTTCTCAAGTCCCCACCTCTTTTGAAGCTCTATGTCGCTTGCCTTACTTCCTTGAAAACATCCCCCTTTCAAGAGATGGGGAAGAACTAGTATATATACCCCATCTTCCCCTACGTTATTAGTTGGTATAAAAATGGAGGTAATACTCTTACCTTCCATATATGCCTCCATTTCCTTTCTCACTCTCCATAYCATCCYTAACTTTTCCAATCACAATATGATTTTCAAGCCAATCTAAAAATAGCCAATAATTTCCATATTTATTCAATAATTTTGAATATCAATTCAAAATATCAAAATGAGGTTTAGGTAAGTCTCTAATATAACAATTGTTAAAAATTCCCTTATTTTAGAGTGTTACAGTTTTCAACCAACAGTTTTATCATTAAAACCTTTCAATCTCAAGAATAATCTATTCTTTCAATGATTTCCAAAAAAAACATCATATCCCTTTTTAGATCCTCAAAACAGGATATTCCAAAACTGTTTTAAAGAAGCAATCCCTTCTTTATCTTTTCCAAAACAGTTTTTAATACTCAAATATATAACAATAACACCTTTAAACTATCAAAATAGTTTTACCATCTTTTCTTCAAAACCAACATAAAGACCCAGTAGTTTATATAACAATATATATAAAAGTTTTAATCATCAAAAACTCACAATGTATAATCAACAGTATTTTTAAAACTCACCTTAACAATCACAGTTTCTACAGTTTTAAAAACACACAGCAAATCACAAACTCTTCAAACAGCTTTGAACAAGAGATTCCTTCAAGAACACTTCTCACCGCCACAACACTTTTTCTTTTTCAATAGATTTTTCTTCAAATAAAATGATAAGATAGAATATTATATTTTTATTTCTTTAAATACTCCACCATAGTGGTGAAGATTATTTTAATTATAAAACTCATAGGCGGTGAATCCTTTATCCAATAGAAATAACCTTGGGTGGTGGGTTTTTCATTATAAAATTCATGATTTCTTAACCATGAAGGTATAAGTTTTTAAATAATATAATAATGTTTCTACCAGAATATCTTATCACAAATATGCACCACCTCATCTTTGTTTCACACCACATGCATATATGTATAAATTACATACATACCATGCCATCCTTTCACATATATGCATGCACAATATCATGTTCACATTTCACATATTTAGTTCATGCATTTCTACTTAGATATGCATATTTCACGTAATCCACATAATAAACATGTATAAATTACCTCAACTCAGGTTGTCTAAAACCTGGTTATAACACATACAAGTAATTTGTCCGGTATACACATGTGTCCATATAATTTAAGACATATCTTCAATTACTTGTATGTATATATGCATACCATACAGATGAATGATTAAAAAAGTGTTCTTTACTTTTTCATTTTTTTGGGTTTTTACTTTGAAACTCGCTACATAGAGAGGAAGGGAGAGAGAGAGAGAGAGAGAGGGAGAGGGAGAGGAAAGATCATGTGAGAAGTTAAACATTTTGCGAGAATACGAGAAGTTTCAAAATCATATATGAATACACTCCTTTGGGTGTGTTTAATCATATATGATTAAACGTTTAAGTATTGTCAATGCAACATGTGATTACGTTTGTAGTAAGCTTGTGTATCATGTGCATAATCATATATGATATTAAACTTCTCGCCTTTTTTGCAAAATGTTTAGCTTCTCATTTGAACCTGCCACTATATATGTAGAGGAAGGATCATGCGAGAAGTTAAATATTTTACGAGAAGGCTAGAAGTTTCAAAATCATATATGAATACACTCATTTGGGTGTGTTTAATCATATATGATTAAGCGTTTAAGTGTTTTCAATGCAACATGTGATTACATTTGTAGTAAGCTTGTGTATCATGTGTATAATCATATATGATATTAAACTTCTCGCCTTTTTGCAAAATGTTTAGCTTCTCATTTGAMCCTGCCACTATATATGTAGAGGAAGGATCATGCGAGAAGTTAAATATTTTACGAGAAGGCTAGAAGTTTCAATATCATATATGATTACACTCTTTTGGGTGTGTTTAATCATATATGATTAAGCGTTTATGTGTTGTCAATGTAACATGTGCTTAATCATATATGATTAAACTTGTATATCATGTGTGTAATCACATATGATATTGAAACTTCTCACCTTCTCCTAAAATGTTTAGCTTCTCGTTTGAACTTACCCTATATATGTATGGATGTATATATATATATATATGGTTTCATTTACGAATCATGAAAGTTTATTTATTATGATTTGGATATCTGTGGAAGATTATTAGCGTTCATTTATAATGACCAACACTTTATATTAGAAAACACCGAGATATTAATTGAACCATATATTCATTAGACTAGATGAATGGTTGAGATTGGTTTCCAAAGTTTGTACTAGTATGATGATTTTTAAATGATTCGCAATATATATGTATATAGTGTCAGACTCCACATATCATGACTCGATGTAGTGATCTTTCCATTTTGTTGGACTCGACCTCCCTAAACAAGCTTTTTGCCAAACTCCACATATCTTCCCCTCCAATGATGAGATTGAGGTTTCTTCAATTCATCCTTTCCGATTGCAAATTGCAGATCTTTGTGGGATTTTAGATAGATTATGGGGTCGTCGTTCGATAACAGGAAGTGGTATCGTCATAGATTCAATTATGTTCTAGCAAATGGTTAGATTTAAAAGGGTTCTTCAAGACTCCTAGATCCAAGAGTTTTATATGGTTTTTCATTTTTTTTATTAACCTGGATATCTAATCCGTTATGCGAGCTGACTAATCTCAGGACGACCACATGCTTTGCAGATAGTCCGGAGTCACCGCATTTGAACCTCCGTGGCCACAAGAGAATTTTTATTCCTCCTTGGATTTGAACCTGAGACCTCCGGATACTTTTGATCTTTGGAGCCAAGTTATGTTTATAGTTTTTCATTTTTCAGTTATCTGAGTTAAGATTTTTCATTGCTTTTGATTTTAAGTTTGTATTTTTCGTTGTTCTATTTAGAGTTACGATGTTTTATTTAAAAACATAAGTTCTATACAACGGTTCGGTGATAAAAATTTCAATTTGTTTCTTAATTGTATAATACGCATATAAATAACAAGAATTAAGAAGAATTTAGGATTTAGGATTTTTTTTTAAGAATTTTTTTTATTAAAATAGGATAATGGTAAAGAGACCATTTTACCCTCATAGTTAGCTAAAATGGTAAGCAAGTATTAAAATGAAAAAAAAAATCAATTCCAAAACAAAATATATATCTTAAATTTTTTTATAACAAATAAAGTTTAGGAACCAATACCGCTATAAACCCCAAATCACAAGGACCAAATCCTTCATTTAATTTTTCTACGAAATCTATGATAAAATAAGTATGAGAAATAGAAAGAATTTTATACCCTTTGAAGATACTTATCTATATTATATTATAAAATATTTGATAAAAACTCTTAAAAATTATTTTTAATACATAAAGTACCGTTTATTGATGCATATTACTTAAAAATCAAGATTACAAGTAAATTTTGCATAAATACAACTTATTAAAGCTTCATATTTGAATTCGTGTAACTAACTGTAGATTAGTATAATCAAATAAAGGATAAATATTTTATTTTAAATAAAAAAAATTAAAAGTATAATTAGAATAATTATTAAGTTCTAACAAAATACATAATCACTATCTTTATAAAAGATTATATTATTAAATCAAAAAAATAAATTAAATAAATGCACAAAAAAAAGAAATTTAAAGTCATTTTGGTACTAATATCAATATATATATATATATATATTTTTATAACATCAACTAAGACAAAAAAACATTAAAATTAATATGTATCTCATTACATTATACAAATACCCTTCTAATAATATCAAATATCAAATTGATTGACATGTAACCAAGGTTCAAAGTTTAAGGATATTATTAAATATATTTTAAGACTTTAAATATTAATTGTTTTAAATGTTTTTAGAACAAATAATAAGATGGTGGTTGGTAGTTGTCTTTCTCCATCTAATCATGGACTAGTTTACTTCAAAGTCTCCTTTGTTCGATAAACCAACACACCACTTTTCATATTTTTCTTCCCACACCCCACATCCATTCCCACCATGCCACCGCCACCGCCACCGCCGTCGTCACCATCACCACCACCACTTCTCTTCTTTCTATGTCTCTTACTGTTATCAGCCACCACCTCCTTTTCTTTAAACCAAGAAGGTCTTGATTTAATCCAAGCAAAATCCACCCTCACCGACCCCACCGGAATTCTCTCCGACTGGAACCACCGCCACGACAATCCATGCAACTGGACCGGCATCACCTGCAGCCACTCCACCACCGTCACTTCCATCGACCTTTCTTCCGCCTCCCTCTCCGGCCCATTCCCCGCCATTCTCTGCCGTCTTCCTTCTCTCACTACCATTTCCTTCTACGACAACTCCCTCAATTCCACCATACCCGCCACCATCTCCGCCTGCCGCAACCTCACCCATCTCGATCTCTCGGCCAACTATTTCAATGGTCTACTTCCATCCACCCTCACCGACATCCCGAACCTTATTTCCATCAATATTCAAGACAACGAACTCTCCGGCGAAATCCCACGTAGTATTGGAAACTTCCGGCGTCTGGAAACACTCATTCTTACCAACAATCTTTTCAACGGATCATTTCCGGCTATTCTTAGCAACATAACCACTCTTAAAGAACTCCGACTTGCTTACAATTACTTCATTTCTGGTCCGATTCCTCCTGAATTCGGAAACCTTTCGAATATTGAACATTTATGGCTGAGTTCATGCGGATTCGTGGGTACGATCCCAGATTCTTTTTCGAAGTTACAGAAGCTCTCTAATCTTGAATTATCTTACAATTCTCTTTCTGGTCCATTTCCTACCGTCGTTTTTCAGCTCAAGAATCTTTACCAACTCGAGCTTTTTAATAACTCACTTTCCGGCGAACTTCCGAAACGGGCATGGTCGAATCTCACGGCACTGAGACTATTCGACGCGTCCGTAAACAGTTTCACCGGAACCATACCGGTTGAGTTGTGCCGGTTGCCGCTCGAATCCCTTGCTCTCTCCGATAATAATTTAGAGGGTTTGGTTCCGGAGAGTTTAGCTCGATCGCCAAACTTGTATGATCTCAGATTATTTGATAATTTCTTAATTGGTCCACTTCCCAGTGATTTGGGAAATAATTCTCCTTTACAGACACTTGATGTGTCGTTTAATCAGCTATTCGGTGAACTTCCGACGAGCTTATGCGAAAAGGGGCAATTATTCGATCTTGTTTTGATCGGGAATTCTTTTTCCGGTGAGCTTCCGGCCATTCTCGGAGAATGCAAGAGCTTAGGAAGAGTTCGCTTGAGCAAGAACAAATTCTCCGGAGAAATTCCGGGGGGTATTTGGGGATTGCCACATGTTTATCTTCTCGATCTAGCCGAGAATTTGTTTTCAGGTAACATCTCCTCCATGATTTCCGGTGGGTTCAATCTTTCGTCGATTTTGATCTCCGGAAACAGCTTCTCCGGTAACATACCGGATGAGATAGGATCTTTAAGCAATTTGGTTGAGCTTATGGCTAGTGATAATAAGTTCAGTGGAGTTATTCCGGCAACATTGTTCAAATTGAACAATCTGGGCACACTTGATCTTAGCGAAAACGATATCTCCGGCCAAATTCCGGTAGAAATCCAATCACTTAAACAGCTCAATGAGCTTAATTTAGCTAACAATAAGTTATCCGGTGAGATCCCTGACGAAATCGGCAATCTACCCGTGCTCAATTATCTCGATCTTTCTGGCAATTCGTTCTTTGGAGAGATTCCGTCTGGGTTGGAAAATTTGATGCTAAATACGCTGAATTTGTCGAACAATCGTCTGTCGGGTAAGATCCCGTCTGCGTATTCGAAGCAAGTTTACCGAGATAGCTTCTTGGGCAACCCCAATTTATGCGGCGAGTTCACCCATCGTTGTCCGGAGAACCAACGAGCCAAAAACAATCATAATCTATGGCTTCTTAGATTCATATTCATATTCGCCGCCATCGTGTTCATTGTTGGTGTCGTTTGGTTCGTTTTCAAGTACCGTAACATCAAGAAAACAAAGGAACCTGTGTCGATATCGAAGTGGCGATCGTTTCACAAGTTGGGTTTTAGCGAATTCGAAATCATTCATCGTTTAAACGAAGGTAACGTAATAGGAAGCGGTGCTTCCGGTAAAGTCTACAAAGCGATTCTCAGCAACGGTGAAGCAGTTGCTGTGAAAAAGCTTTGGGAAAGATCGATAAAAAAGGAAAACGAGACGAATTTGAACGGCGATGGATCGCAAAAAGACGAGTTCGAGAGTGAAGTCGAGACGTTAGGAAAGATTCGCCACAAAAACATCGTTCGATTGTGGTGTTGTTGTAAGAGCGGGAATTCGAAGCTTTTGGTATACGAATACATGCCGAATGGAAGTTTAGGTGATTTGCTTCATAGTAGCAAAGGCCGATTATTGGAATGGCCGATGCGATTCAAGATTCTTCTCGATGCAGCCGAGGGACTTTCTTATTTGCATCATGATTGTGTTCCTCCGATCGTTCATCGAGATGTTAAGTCGAACAACATTTTACTCGATGAGGAATACGGTGCCAGAATCGCTGATTTTGGTGTAGCAAAATTCATCAAGCCTACAAATAAAGGGGCCGAATCGATGTCGGTTATTGCCGGTTCTCGTGGTTATATCGCCCCAGGTACGTAATTTTATCGACTTAATGAACTGCATCTATCATCGTAGATGCCCAATTTCCGTTGGGCATGCTAAAAGACTCGACTAATTTAATTTCTTCATAATATTTTCAAATGCTACTTGTATCAGAATACGCATACACTCTTCGCGTAAACGAGAAGAGTGACATATACAGCTTCGGAGTCGTGATTCTAGAGCTCGTGACAGGAAGGAAGCCCGTTGACCAGGCGTTTGGCGAACGAGACCTGGCGACATGGGTGCACGCCACGGTGAACCAAAAGGGTCATGATCACGTGCTTGATCCCGAGCTTGAATATGAATCCAACGACCAAATCTGTAAGGTTCTTGATATAGGTTTGTTATGCATTAGCCCGCTTCCAATTAACCGGCCTTCGATGCGAACCGTGGTCAACCTGCTTCAGGAGGCTGTGGCCGATGGCAAACCGAAACCGACCATGAATGATGGGAAAGCTTCTCCTTATTACGATAGCTCAGACCAAGCAAGTTTGGTTTGATTGAAGAAACTCATATTGATAATAGAGAAGAGGTTGTACAATGTGCATTGGAAGTTGTACATTGTGCATCAATTGTTGTACATTGGGCATTTTAAAACGAGCAAGATCGGTAGGAGTCGCAATGGCGAGTAGCGGGGTATTATGTTTTTGTTTCGTAAGCGAGCTACGAGCGTACAATTATTGTATAAATTTTTAGCTAATTTTGTAACACGTAGCTGTATCATTCGAAAAAATGTATCTTTTCCGACCCCAATGGATCGGAATTTTTCATGATAATCTAAAGTTAGAGGTGGCTCGAACCATGATTTAAAACCAAAACCAGCCATATCTAGGTTTTTTCATTAGCAGTTTAATGGGTTAAATGCTTGTTCGGTCACTTATAAATGATTGTTTGGTAATAGCTTAATGATATAGAAAATGACTTATTCAATAAGCTTATAGATGAGAGCTTTTTGTAGATAGTCATGTTTTTACAAAATTGTCTCTTCTAAATAAAAAACATGCTTCTTTCATATATGGAAAAGAGACCCAAACAAAATCTTCTTAATCCATACACATGGATTAATTTACACATATCTATACTATATTATAAAACATTTGACAAAAACTCTTAAAAACCATTTTTTTATGCATGAAGTACTGTTTATTGATGCATATTACTTAGAATTCAATATTACAAGTAAATTGTGCATAAGTACAACTTATTAAAGCTTTATGCCTGAATTCGTGTAACTAACTACGTATAAACATAATCAAATAGAGGATAAATATATCATTTTAAAATATAAAAAATCCAAAATATAATTATGATAATGGTTGAGTTCTAACAGAATACTTAATTATTATCTTTATAAAAAATATATTATTAAACCTAAATCAAGTTAAATTAAATTATAATAAAAAATTTAAATTAAGAAAAAATATACAAACAAGAACTTTTAAATAGTTAATTTGATACTAATATTGATATGATTTTTACAAAATGTATATGATATTTTCAAATTTATATTTATTCAAAAAACAAAACATTATCGTTTTCTGAAAACCATATAAAATCATATTATATCGACATGAATAAAAAATAAAAACGAAAAATTGAAACAGAAATGTGTTTCGATGTATTGCATGAGTACCCTTTTAGTATTTATTCATAAAGAATTTCTATGAAAAATTAACCAAACAACTCATAAATTATTTCAGTATGATCAAATTCACAAAATATTAAAATTATAAATTTAAATCATAATATATATTTCTTGAATTAATAAGAATATGTGCTATCATTTGAGGTAGTACATAGTTTCGTATGCATCTCATTTTCAGACTCTATTTTTAAATAAAATATATTAAATTAATATTTTTATATTATAAAAAATAATAAATGTCTATTTTGAGGAGGGAAGGTTGTTAACGTTTATGAGGGAGTATTTGTCACCATTTTGCCGTCCATATTTAAGTAGGAAATTTTTTCAAATGGACCCCACAAATTTATTTAAGATTCAAAACATCCCCTAATATTATTGAAGTTAACATAAAAGGTCCTCATATTCTCACAAGTTATTATATCAATAGGCTATACGTAATAGGATAGATTCTTGATGATGAATTCTTATAGAAAGCATCATCTAGTTTTACAAAAAAGGGTAAAGAAAGACTGATATTACACATACATATATCTGAATACAATTTAACAGTTGGATTTCTAAACCTTCGTTATCAAAACCTGTTAAGACGCTCGTATGGTACGATCTGCAAACATCCAACACAAAAGCTGACGTTTCATTGTATTACAAGTATAAGGGTATGATTTCTATGAACATGTACTGTATGTATGATTTGGTTGCCACTAATGTCTTGCAGTGCAAAGATGTAAATAGTTTTAACTATAACGGCTAAAGTTTCTAGAAGTATTGGGAGATTAAAAGATGTGTATGTTTGGAACCTTCTATACAATGGGCTACTCTCCACTATTGACTTTTGTACAACCTTTTCTTTTTTAATTAGAACAAAGAGCACAACCAAATAGGTCTAGTCTATCGTTAAAGTAAAGTTTACTAACTACCCACTTCACTTTCATGCAAAATCACTTGGTCAAAGGAAAAAAATCTTATCTGGTAAGAGCGAGACAAGGGTCAAGAACCTTAACCGGTATGTGAAGGTGACGACTCTTACCATGGTAAGTGCTTACCGAGTAAATTTTTGCATACGATGTCGTTTTGATGGACTAAAATCTTACTTGGTAAGTAAATAATAGTGTTAAATTTTACCAGTAAGCACTTACCGGGTAAGTGTTTAGTAAACGACCTCCTATTTGTCTTAAAAGTTGTTCCATCCCAGAATTAAAATCATAATTCTAAGAAAATAAGCTTTATCATGATTGATATTATTAATTCATTTATTTAATTCAAAAACAAATAAATAATAATGTAATGGAGTCAACAACATCCATCTGTTTGACCACTTGTAATTAATGCTCATCCCTACCCACAGGGGGTATATGTTATAAATAGAAGGAATTGGGGGATATTTTTGTAATAGATATAAAAGTACAAGGGGTGGAGATATAAAAGGGGAATTCCCACCAGCTACTGGCAATTGTCCCAAAGTCCTTGAGCAGATGGTTTGAAAAGTCAAAAGGCGTAGAAAATAGAAGCAAAGTGAAAGCGACAGAAAATGATGGGCAGTCAATGGGTTGACTGGTAACTCATTCTGGGTCTTCCGCAATGCCGTGATTGTCTCTCGTTTACATTCAAATTGTTTACAGCATCTGTTATTGTATCATAGTTTTTTTTAATAGAAAATTAAAAGTTAAATTTTTAAAAAAAATTACATTTAATTTTAATATTATTTTATTAATTAAAACATTAATCTTATTATTAAAATATTTAATATATATATATATATATTTATATAATAAGATATATATATATATATATATATATATTTTTTTTTAAACAGTTAATTTCAATGTCTCCTTATCAACGAGAATAAATTAAATATTATTTCTCTCACTTTAATATCGAGTCGTAGAAGAATTCCCCACATTTAATGTTATCGTGAATGTTAAAATAAAGAAAAGAAGAGAGAAAATAAAAATCTTCAAATTCTGAGAAATTTTTAAGACCCCATATTGAAGAGAGAGATAAATAATATTTAATTTTTTCTCATCAACAGATAACATTGAAATTAAATGTTTACGAGAAAAAAATAATATAATATATTAAATATTTTAATAATACAATTAATGACAAAATTGTTAAAATAAAATAGTTGTTGAAGTTGAATGTATTTTTTTTAAAATTTTAACTTCTGATATTTTATTTTAAAAAATTATAGTATAACTGTTGGAGATGTTTTTTAAAAAAAATAATTATATTTACAATAAAAATATTTTTTATTCTATAAACATGTTCCTAAATCTAACATTTTTTTTAATAATATTAACAAGAAACAAAAGTAACAAACAGAGTTTGAACGAGAGGTGAATAACCAAAAGAACCAAAACCACCGAAAGCATTTTTTTTAATATTAAATTTCATATATCTCATCGGGTGTCAATTTTGTATAATGATAATCAGCCAATTCTTATATCAATCATACCAATTTAATTTTTGTCAATTTACTCGGTACCAATTTAATTGATTGTTAGTATCATACCAACAATTTAAATTTGGTTGGTACATGGTATAGAAGTCGTGTACAAAGATAATACCGTAGCGTACCAAATTTTTTAAAATTATTTATTAATTAAAATTTAATTAATAGTACAATATATTTTGATTTTAAATTTTAAATTGTCTTATTTTAAATATCACTAAATTATAATATTGATGCATATATAAGAATTGATTGAATTCATTTGATCAACTCTAACAACTTTAGTAACTTGTTCACACCTTCACAGTCTATCACTGATTCATCGCTCCACAATACCTACTTGTATTAGACTATTAGTGAACGTTTATATTACTATATGAAGAGTATCTGAATGCTTGTATAGGTAGGGACAGTGGCGGATCCAGGATTTTGGTCTAGTGGGGGCACCTTTAAGGTAGCTTAAACGYCCACCAAGTCGTCCGATGTGTTTTAAGCCTAATTCCACCATTCCAAGAGATTTTTGAAGTTTTTTTGGATTATTTCAAGGGATTTTTTAAGGTTTTCTTATCGATTTCGAGGAACTTTTCAGTTTTTTGGTTGATTTCAAAATACTTTCTTTAGTTGGTGGGGGCCCTAACATGAAATTACGGAGGAGAACCATGATAGAAAGTAAAAAAAACAATATTTAACCTTAAAAAAATTCATTTTTTTATTTTTTAATGGGGGCCCTTCCCCCCACCTTTTACATGGTGAATCCGCCCCTGGGTAGGGATAAATGGTACAACACATATCAATATGTTATTTGAATGCTTGACGGTTGTAGTGCATCTAGATCTAGTTGGTAAAAATGTCAATTTATATAAATCTATAACTTCAACTTTTGCAACGTTGGTACAAAACCATATCAACAAGTGCTAACCGAAAAAAGTTGGTAAGAATTTAGTTGGTACTAATATAGCTGGTTTGTACATAGTATAAAATTTTACATACCAATTATAATTGATTGGTACATGGTATATGAAAAAAAAATGATATTATACCATGTTCACTTTTAACTCAACCTTAAGAAATAAAATAAATATTTTTTTAAATCATTAATCCATAAATGTATTTTATTTTAATAATATCTAATTTTAAATAATATTACTAGTATTTGTACATGTCAACATCTTTGTTAGGGGGTGTTTGGGATTGCTTATATGAAACAACTTATGTTTTCTACAAAAAAACAATTGTCAACTTATTATAAGTCAGAAGGGTTTAACTTTTCAAAAACTTCTTATTACCGATTTGGCACCGGTATAAGTTGTTTATCCAAACACTCAAAAGTGTTTATTACCGGTGCCACGCCGGAATAAGTCAATAAGTTATTTTTATAAACAATCCCAAACACCCCCTATATAATGGTGGTTGTCGAAGCCGATATATAATGAATTTATTATAGTTAACACAGAATTAAATGAGAAATAAAATTTATAGTTTTTATCTATATAATTCGTTAAAAATTATGATTTCATCAAGTGACATGCTATTTAAATATAAATCAGGATGTAAAATACAGTCAATATCATTTGATCTATCGTTTTATAGCATTAAGAAAAGGGAGATCATCACGATCATTTACGTAAATTTAGCAAAGTAACATGTACGAGTTTACACTAAATAGAAAAAAGAGAGTAAATTACAGATTTGGTCCCTATGGTATGTCGATTTTTCTGGTTTTCTTCAATAAACGTCATTTCATACAAACAAGGTTTTAACTGATGTAAGGCTTGGCTTGATGATACAATCAAGTATCAAGCCTTACGAGTTACAACAAGACCACTGTGTTTTTCAAGACTTGACTCGAGACGACAAATCTGTATGTAAGATCCACGCTAGTTGGCTTAAGTTTCGATGGAAAAAGAATTTTAAACAAATTCAAATGCGGATACTTCTTTTAAGATGACTAAGGTGGTGTAAGAACAAAGAATCAAACAACACAGAATCAAAGAATCATGCAAAAGTAAAACAAAATCAAAAAACAAAATCAAAGAACTGAATGCATATCTCTCTTTGCGCATCATTTCAAAACCAAGTATCAAAAGTGCAAAATCAGTCGACTTTGACGTTAAGCATTTACAGCTTGATTAGTTGATTCCAATCTTGATGACTCTCAATTCTCGCCATTCTTCAATTCTTCATCGGCTTCGTTTCCGCGTAATGGGAGTAAGGATTAAGCATTTGAAGTTTTACCCATTTGTGTTCATTTAGGTCTTTTATTCAAAAAGGTCATGCTACCAACCATACTTAATAACCAACAAGTTAAAAAAATACACCCTGCACCATAACGCGCCTTATCACAAGCCAAACATTATAGTCATGCCACGGGAGTTGACATGGCGCCAAAGCCATCAGGGCCATAACGCTCCATATTGCCGTAACACATTAGTAGAACTTTGATTACAAACCAACCCTTCCAAATGAGAAGAGTTTAAAAAATCTTCACCTTTGTTCACAGTCTACCCGTAGGTCGGATCTATCGGTGGTATTAGTGGCCACCATGGGAGTCAGGAGACGCCACGAAGAAGGATAACACTGCTTCGTTACTCATATGTACTTATAAATGAAAATGGAGACGTAAGAAATGGGGGAGGGTGGTTAGAGAACTCAAGGAGGTTTTCTGCTTACTTTTTACATGTCGCTTCACATTTAAGAACTAAAATATCCAAACTATCCCCGATATGAGGGGCTACTGAAGGGAGGTAATAATAAATATAACGGAGGTTAGAATGAGAGACCAAAACCAAAACGATATGATGAATAAGAGCATCTTCAATACTCGGTTTATAAGTAATGTTCTAAAAGTCTCGTCGTAATAATCATCATTGTGCATCGTTGTTTTAGAATTGTGTCTCACGCCATGTTAAGCCTATGGCACGACATTGGCCTAATGTGCGGTTTTTAACACGAGATTTTTCTTCTCTTTTAAATATCTTATTTGTTAGTTTTTAATATATAACATAATTTAGTTGTTTATTATAATTAATATATTAAGTAGTAGAAGAAAACATTTGTTTATAGGGAAAGGTTCATTTGAGAAATGGTAAAATATTTGAGAAGTAAAGAAGTGATCATAGACCTTCATCTTGCAAAACATTTGCGGCTTTAACCATGAAACACCGGAAAATTCTTCGTATGGGTATGCAGAAGATAAATGGGTAGTTTCGTAACATTTACAAATAGTAGGCAAACGGGTTCATATGTGAACCCATATGATACACATATGAACTATATGTTCATATGTGAATTCTGTAATTAGTTCATATGTTTACTATTTAACCGATTCATATATGAACCCAGGTTCATATATGAATCAGTTAATTAGTTCATATATGAACCACACAGATTCATTTGTGAATCAGTTAATTAATTCATATATGAATCACAAGGGTTTATATGTGAATCAGTTAATTAATTCATATGTGAATCAGTTAAAATAGTTCATATGCGAATTACATGAGTTCACATATAGTTCATATCTGAATCACATATGTTCATATATGATGAAACATCCTTTTTTTTTTTGGCAACGAGAAAGGAAGAAAATAATCATAATAATAATCATACATAGATTGATTATTACATAAATTTAACAAATTTAAAATACCAACATCAAAGCTTACATTTAGATAGAAATTTCATGATAACCGAAAATGGAACATACTTAATCCATACTGAAATATAATATACTACAATTTCATATACATCCCACCATAAGAGCTTCTACTTGCAATCAAGTTCCTGAGACATATGCACATACTTTTTTTTTTGTAACACCCATTTCACATTTACATATAACCCACATATTTCATATAATATGAATTCAAATAATTACACACTGGTCCCAAATGTGCAACTTGCTACATTACAAAAGTAGTCACAAAGTTTTTCTATATATATCAAGTACAAGACTTGTAACCTACAAGTTTTCAAGCAGAGATAATATAACATCTTTCAAAAAAAATCCACATATGTAAAGCAATCATAACATCTTCACATTTTCCCTTTATCCTCCGATTGTACCCGACCTACAATGCACATTTTAAAACACAAAATGAGAGTTTGACCATGAGGTTTAGTGAGAAATCCCTTTTAATTGCTATTACAGGGTAGAAATCACCAAAAGACTTTTTAAAAAGCCCATATTTGTATAAATAACAAATAAACAATGTTTTTATTAAAACAAACATCTTTGTCCTATCATATAGAAGATACAACTTCATTCATCGCATCATAACCCATTGAAGTCTTAAATTTATCGCATTAAATAAATAAATAATCAATTTGTCGCATCCCACATGAAATACATCAACTTATCGCATTATATTGATGCGATAACAATTTATGTCGCATCATTCATAGGCGATAACCCCCTTGTCGCACCTCAAGGATGTGACAATATTTTCTCGCATCTCATTGATGTGATAACCCAAATTTGTCGCATCCCAAGGATGCGATATCTACCTTTTGTCTCATCTAACAGATGCGATAAACACCCTTGTCGCACCATATATATGCGATAACTGTAACTCCTCGCACCATACTAGTGCGATAAAGTCAATATATCGCATCTCATTGATAAAAATAATACTTGAATCAAAATCCAATCTCATCGCATCACACTATGAAATAACAATCATACTCGTTGTATCATATGGATGCGATAACAGAATCCCATAATCAAAAAGATCATCATTCACCAGAATTTGATTATGCCACCATTATCTCAGTATACTCAGCTCCGGATTATGTCACCCTTGTTACAAAGATATACCCAGTTCCTGATTATGTCACCCTTGTTACAAAGATATACCTAGCTCCTGATTATGTCACCTTTATTACAAAGATATACCCATATCTTGATTATGCCACTCTTATTACATTCAGATGATATAATCATATCAAAACCCAAAATTTATACTAATAAATAGCATATAAACATCACATACATATGTATGAAACCTTACGCTTTGTTCACCCAAAAACACAACAAATGATGTTTTCAAAGTAAAACTCACCTTATGATCACAAATATATGCTGATGATATACAAGAGCAAATTCAGCTTAAGAATCACAGACTCAACTACTTCTTCCTTCCTTTTTGGTTTCTGTTGCTCGAACATAGAGATTACACACACAGAAGACTCCTTCTTTTCTCTCTGTTCAAAACCCTATGAGATAATAAAAATATCTCACATATACTCACTTAAAAATATATAAGGTGGTGAGTGGTTAAAAATATTTTAAGCATATTATGAAAACAACCCCTCAACTTTATGCCATCGTTCAAAAGCAACCCCAAACTTTTATAATCTTAAACCCGGTTATCACATTTTTTAAGCAAACATTTTCCGGGTGAGTAACGGATAATACAATTTTAAATAACAAACCAGTATCATGCCATGATCAAAAGTAAACTATAACTTATGTTTCAATATCATATACTTATATTTGCATGCATGTATGTCCACCACCACTAAGGTTATATATTGCTTATGATCATAAGTTTTTTACCATTAAGGTTCTTGTCACACTAAGTAACTTAAAAATGTGAACATATCATACGAAATAAAATACATGCTATGTAATATATTGAAACATATTCATCAATGGACATGAAATCTTTTAATAAAATTGTATTTACTCACACTTAACAAAGTGTACATATTATACATATGTTCATAAAAGATATTTAGAAAAAGATCCGTATACTCATAACTTTTCGATATAGAGAGCTTATTTTCTTGCAGGAAAACTTCCACCAAGATCCAACTCTTACACTAAAAAGGCACTCTTACTAACCAAGTTTATGCCATTTGATTTGAAGTATTAACTCAAATGTGTTTTAAAATTGGTAGGATGATTATTATATAAAAGAGTGGTTCCGAAACTAAAAACTTGCATGGAGAACCTTCGTTCTTGTTGGCATCACCATGTGCCATCATAACTTGACAAATGGAACTTCCAATTTGACTCATGGTCCCACCTCCAAGTTCCTCCAATCACAAAACAACAACTCTCTTAAATGCCAATCATCCAACACCACTCACTAGTACTTATTATAATAATATTAAAAAGAAAACTTTTCAATCAATACTTCTTTTTTGTATATCAAACATAATACTATTATATATATATATATATATATAATAAACTAAAAAAAGAAATAGATTGTTACATATGAACCGTTTGTCGCTTATTTGTAAAGTTATGAAACTATCCTATCTGTTTTTTGCATAGCCGCAATTTTTCACTAGTCAAAAATGTTATTATTGACCAGACAAATCCGCAATTATTGACCAGTCAAATCCGATCTTGACTGTAACAAGTCTTTGTTAGAAATTGATATTCATGAAGTGTATGAAACCTTGAAGCAGAATGAGGAAGAGGTCTTGGAGATTAGAGAAGCAAAGAGAAAGCCATAGAAGGTAGTTGTTGATCCTGTAGCTTTAGTGTCTGGTAGAAGAAGCAGATCAAGGGAAAGTTCGTCAATGAAAGAGCCAATAGAGAAGAGTGATTCTTCAGTGGAAGAAGATTCTGACAGTGATTCTGATTCAGAGATGAAAGAGGCTATGGTGATGCTAACTAGGGCTTTTTAGAAGAAATTCTATAAAAGGCCACATTCCAGCAGTCAAAGGTTCTCGTCTAGGTCAAAGTATGAGTATAAAGACAGATTTGGGGAAAAGAAGAAGTATGAAGAAAAGAAATACGAGAACAATTATGATGAAAAGAAGAAGAGTGGAAAGGAAGTGGTTGATGAGAACAAAAAGTGTTACAATTGTGGAAAGAGAGGACATTTAGCCGTTAATTGTAGGAAACCAGTGTCTAAAAACACTGATTACTACAAGAACATATTTATTCTCTCTAAGCAAAAAGATGCTGGTAAAACACTCATGGTTGAAGATGATCACTGGTTGAATCTGATTGATGAAGAAGAGGAAGTGGAGGCTCATGCCTACATTTGCTTGATGGTCAAAGAGGATACTGATTTGATGGAAGATGAAGATACCAAATTATCTATGAAGTATTTGAATCCTCTTATCTTGAGCAGATGCAAAGGATGATAGTAAAGTACTCATGGCTGAAGATGATCACTGGTTGAATCTGACTAATGAAAAAGAGGAAGTGGAGGCTCATGCTCACATTTGCTTGATGGATAGAGAGGATACTGCTTTCTTGGAAGATGAAGATATCAAATCAGAATCAAGCTCTGAGGTATTTGAATCTTGTTATCTTGAGCAGATGCAAAGGATGATGCTTAAATTGTAAGATTTTCAGTTAAAACTTAAAACGCGAAAAAGATCTTGTGGCTATTCTTGAAAAGAAACTGGAAAAAGAACAAAATAATTTTTTGAGAGTTCATGTTGAAAATGTTGAAAACTTTTCATGGGCACAATCTTTGAAAGCTGAAAAACAAGTTTTAAACGATCAAATGGATGATTTGAAGAATCAGATTTCTGAAATATCAGAAAAATTAAAGTTATCAGAGTTTGTGAATGATGACCTTATTGTTAAAAATAGTTCTCTTGCTTTACAAAATAAATGTGTAACTGAAAAACTTAAAGATCTTGAACAAAGGCTTTATAAGAGAGGACAAACTGATCAAACAATTTTTTTGAACAAGCCTAATGAATTTAGATTTTTCTGTCTGAGAGAAGGTTTAGGTTTGGAAAATCCAAATTGTTTGATGAAGGCACTTTATCATACCCCAACTTTATATAAATTTGAATATCTAGACCTCAGTCCAGATTACCAAATTCAGTTTATGAATCATCTGATGAAGTGGAGGAACAAGAGGATTTAAACAGAAAAAAAAGATAAAATGCAAGTTCCTTTCGATTATAAAGATTTAAATGAAAGTTATCAAACGAGAGTGTCTGCACTTTCTAGTGATTGCATTCACAGTTATTCAACTGTTGAACTTTCATCACAACCAGTTGTATACAAACCTTGTACTCATACTCTTGTTTTAGAAAAACAAATTGTGCAACTGGAAAGTGTTTTAAAAGAAGTAAGACTTTCTTTTGAAAAAGAAAAGGAATTGTTTTTGTCTAAAATATAAAATTTTGAGTCTCAAAGTGTAGTACAAGAACAAGAATATTTTGAGTCTGTTGATTTTTAAGCCTCTTCATGTAAATCATTTATGGAAAATTTTGGAACAAAATCTTTCTGTGAATTTACTGATTCAGATGAAATATAAGTGTTGAAAGAAGAAATGGATTTCTCTGAAATTCTAAATCCTGATGTTTGTTTGGAGGAAGAAATTGATCAATTTGATTTCTCACAACTTCTTCCCAGGCATGTTGAATTTTTAGATAAAGGTAAAGAAAAGGTTGAGGAACTTGTCAAGATCTTTAAGGAAGAAAACTCTAAAACTGAATTCAAACCTGTTCCTGTGAATACCTATTATAAAAAGAATAAATCAAAAAGGCTTTCAAAGAAACAGAAGAAAACTGTTGCAAATCATAAAAACAAGGTTAATCATCAAAAATCTTCTAACGGATTTGTTTATGATGTTACAGATAAATCTATGAAGTTCAAGTACATCTAGAAAGTAAAAGGATCTACGATAATAGATCAGCAAAGTCATCTCCATCTATTAGAAAGAATAATAATATCAGTTTTGCTAAAAGTGTAACAGACAAATTTTATGTTGCTAAAAAGTATTCTATGAATGAATTGATCCATTTAGCAAATAGTAAAATCCGTTGTTCTAACTGTGGATGAGATGATTTTGTTCCTTTTACTTATTTCAATTCTGCTCATAAATTTTGTTCTCCTATTAAAGCCAAAATCCAAAAGAGAAAATTTTTCAAAAACAATTGGTTTGGTAATTACAACATACCGCCAACAAAATCTAACCTGAAAGGACCCGTTCTTAAGTGGGTACCTAAAGTGAAGTTATTCATTTTGCAGGTAAACTTATGGCTCCAGGTTCAAAACTACATGTTGATCTTTCGGGTAAAGCTATAGATCAAAAGACTTATCGAGGCATGATTGGTTCTTTAATGTATTTGATGTCTTGTAGACCTGATATTATATTTTCAACACATCTTTGTGCCAGATACCAGGCCTGTCCTAATGAATCCCATCTAAGTGTTGTGAAATGAATTTTTCGTTACTTAAAAGGGATAGCTTATCTTAGACTTTGGTATCCTAGAGATACCGGCTTTGAACTAACAACATACTCAGATGTAGCTCATGTAGGTTGTATGATAGACAGGAAAATCACATCGGGTCATCTATAGTTTTTTAGGAGACAAGATAGTGAGTTGGGCTTCAATGAAACAGAATTGTGTGTCCACATCTACAGCTGAAGCATAATATGTTGCTGCTGCCAGCTGTTGTTCTCAAGTCATTTGGATGCGTATTCAACTCAAAGACTATGGTTTTTCCTATAACATGATTTCAATATACTATGACTCGAAGAGCTCCATCGCCATATCTTGCAATCCTGTGCAGCATACCAGAACCAAACATATTGACATCCGGTATCACTTTATAAAAGATCATGTAGAAAAATGTACAATTGAGTTGTACTTTATTAGTACAGAATATCAGTTAGTTGATTTGTTTACGAAAGCTTTAGATGAAAACGCTTTAGCTTTCTAATATCCAAGTTAGGTATGCTGAATTTGAAAACCTGAATTACCTATAAATTTTGTTCAATAAGTTGGAAATTTTTGAATTTATTAGTCAATTTCACTCACTGATTAAATTTCTAATTTTCATCAATATTGAATTTAGTTTATACTTAATTTAGTGTTTTCAAACGTCTGTATTTTCAAAATGTATTTCAATGTATTTATTTTCTTATGATCTAATGCTTTTGACTATGTGCTACTGATTCCAAGGGATGTTTTTGAATTTTATCTGATCTTATTTCAAGAGGAAGTAAGTGTTTTAATTCTTATTTGTATGATGAGTGGATACTTAACTGATATATTTGAATATATTGTATTTTACAAGTTTTGAAGTAAAGAAGAGTTTTTGGGAGATAAGTATATTAACCAAGGCTTAGGTGATATAAGTCTATATCGCTTAAAGACTTGGGCGATATGCTAAGTTCTTGTTTTTGAAATTTGAAATTTGATCAAGGGTTGAGCGATAAAGGAGATATCCGGACAAGACTTGGGCGATGAGCATTCAATCAGCTCAAAGCATGGGAGATGAGCTTTGTGGTTACAAGTTTGGACGATAAATCTTTAATCCGTTCAAAGACTTGAGCGATGATCTTGTTTATCGTTCAAAGGCTTGAGAGACGAGCATGTTTCATCGTTCAAAGGCTTGAGAGATGAGCATATTTCATCATTCAAAGGTTTGAGCGATAAACCTATTCATCGGGCAAAGGCTTAGCGATAAACCTGTTGTTGGTCCCAAAAGGGTCTACAAGAATACTAAACAGTTTGTAGAAGGGGGGGGGGATGAATACAAACACAATTTTCAAATTTAAAATATATATTGATAAAGAAGATCAATACATATTTTACAAGATTGTTTGC